CTCTCCATGACACACAGGGCCTCATCCCTTGATGGCACAGGCACTGGGCAGACCACAGCAGCCTGAGCACCTGAGAGATGTCTTTGGTACTAATGCAAGCACAGACTACTTCCACAGCAAAATTCAAAGGTGGTTCACAAATATGTTTATTTTTACAAAAAGGTCTGTGAATCTCTCAGAGTAAAACTACCAGGGAGTCAAACACACAGTTTGCCACGGGACTGTGTCCTAAATGGAGGACTGTTTTGCCTCACTTCTTCACTTCACTTATGTCTTCTGGATTCCTGTTGAAGCACTTGGTATTTTCTGCCTCACTTTTTTCTCTGTATTTAATATTTAGCTTTGCACCTTACTTAATAATATCAACTCCTACCATCCAAACTCTTTCTCAGCTTCTTTATGGACAGCTTGATAAATAACTGTTTTCTTAAGAAATGTTATACTGTTGTTTTTTATATTACTGGACACGATAATTCTGAATACAAAAAAAAAAAAGAAAAAAAGAAAAAAGTATATAAATTTTATTTCTTAAAAAAAGACGAAAAATAGATTCAACAAAAAGATAAATTTATGAAAAAAACCCAAAACCTGAAATCTACCGTTACAATGCTTTGAGTTTTAAAAGCAGCATAAGTAAGATGGAAAAAACCTCTTATTCAACTCAGAGACCTTGTACTCAGAAACACTATAAATAAATAAAATATAAGGAAGTTTTTGACAAAAGAGTAGAGATGAGAAATATCCTCAATTAAAAACACTCCTTCTGAAAAAGATTGAAAACAGAAGAAAGAAAATCTCTGTTCTTCAACTCAGAGCTCAGAGCCAGAGGAAATAACACAAACAGAAAAAAAGCCTTTCACAGTGAAAACACTAGATTTTCCCTAATTTCAAAAAAATGTAAAAATTTTTAATATAAAATTTGTTTCCTAAGGGATAAATAGATGAAGAATATGGGGACCAGACAGCTCCTAAGAATTAAAAAGAGAAAATTCTTTGAAAAACCCCAAGAAAAATAGGACACCTACTTCTGTCAGTCTCAGCTGTAAGATAAAAGAATGTGAATGGTTACAAAGGCTGCCAACGAGTGCCTCAACAGGCAGCTGCTGTGAGATGATAGAATTAGTTAATAAGATCTCGCAGTGCCAAGAGACCAGGAGGTTCTCGCTGTGGCACCAGTTATTTTTTATCACAGCTCGGTGCCACACTGCTATCAGACAGATGCTTTCAAAAAGACTGCACATGACGCTGGAGCTGAAGTTACCTGACTGTCTGTGGCTCTGAGCTCTGAAATGGGCTGCTCAATCTGCAGAAGCCAACATATTAACTGCATGGTCTGGCATACATTTCCTGCCAGTGCTGCTCTATTCCGATGGAAGAGCCTACAGGCTACTATGGAACGCCATTTATGCCTCTCATTCCCCAGATGACAATATATTACAGGTTTCTTACATACAGCTGTGCAATAAAAAAAACTTCTTTAACCAGCTGAAGCAATCTCATTCATCTTAAGGCATTTTAATATCAATAGGGTGCTAATTCTCATTCATAATAATTATGTTAACCATTATATGTAGGGAACAGGGTCACACTCCAGTGGAAAAAAGAAATAATCATGGGTCTTCTTCCACTAAGATGACAATTCAAGAGTGAAATAAGGGACAACAGGTAGATGCAGTCTAGTCAGAAAGCACTAGCAGCAAGGAAATTATATATTTCAGTACAACAGATAGCAGACTCAACACATCCCAGCACAGGATGCTTTTCACAAGCACTGCAGCAGACCTGGACCTAACAAAAGATAATGAGGAATCAATACAGATGCTTGCAGGGAATACCTTCCAGGAATGATGAGTTATTTGCAAAAAAGAATGGAGATGACTCTGAAAAAGTAACACCTGGGGAAAAGTAGACTGATATGATGAAAAAGATTATGTGTAGGATGAAGCTTGTCTCAAAAATGTCTGAAGGGGATTAAAAGCATCTTATCTTCTGTGCAGCACAGCAGAGCACAGAATGCTTGCATTTGTCTTCCCCAGAGTAAAGGATCAAGGCAAAAGAAGCTGTGAACTTTGTCAAGTTTTATGTTTTGGCAAAGGGAAAGAAAAGGCACTATTTCAGATATGGCGAACAAAATCAGAATGACCTAGCTATGTCAGGACATAGGACCTGCAAAGGGTTTTAAGCCTAAATACCACTCAATATGCAAAGCTGATCAATTGGTGAGAGAGTAATTTTATTGTCTGTCATCATAAAAAATTATAGGGTTAGGTGTTGAAAATATTTAAAGTTTTACTTAAGGTAGCAGCTGGATAATTTTCAATGGGCAACAGACAGAGGAAGAAAATTGTCACCATGTTGCCATTTATCACTATCAGAATCTTGGGCTGGAATGAGGATCAGTGGAGAAATCTGAAGTCATAGAGGATTTAAGTTAATTCTGTGAAAATCCCAAGGAAGCTGAAAAGATAAAAAGTGTTTCCACCTGAAATCCAAACATATTCCTTCTGTCCTGGACACTAGAACACACACTAGAACTGTGGGGAACTTTTTGGAACAGCTCCTAAATAGTGCAGCAGAGACAGCAGAACGTGGGAGATTGGTGAGAGGTCTTTTGCCTGTTTGTGGTTCTCTTTGTAACGGAGCTGCCATGCAAATTAAAGTGTATTTTAACTCTGTGAAACTGGAGGAATTAACAGAGGTAATTCCTATTTTAACTGTGTAGCTGTAGTCATGGAGTTCGAATGCTGGCAAGCCACAAATTTGAACCCAGTGACTTGAAGAAAGAGGGATGTCCAGAATGACTGTCTCCCACTGTTGCAACAATTAGAGGAAGAGAAGGACAAACAAAGAAAACAAAACAAATAAATCATAACAACAATATGCCAGAAAAGACATGTCACAGGCAAATAGACATGGGTAAAATACAGGCTAATTCTCTTGTTTCCATATTGCAAATAATTTTCATGATTTGATCCTAGGAGGATCATAGATGACGAGCTATTTCTTGTCAGTTTTTAAAAATTTCCCAATTAAATGACATCTATGAAGATAGAAAACAAAGATATTTGTTTGGCTCATTTTAGTTATCATATAATATAAATCTTACATATGACAGCTTTATTAGATTATTTTTCCTCAGCAAAACACCCTATACTAGACGTTGCCAAATTCCCATTATATTCATTCATTAATAATTCCAAGATATGGGGAACTTCGTAACATTTTTTTTTAATTTGAAGAAAAGCAATATTTTTGGTATGTTTAGAAGTAACTGAGTTATAAATTTGTATAATCAATAAAAATATATCCAGAGAAAATAAGTTTTGCAAGTAACTTACCCTAAGTATTTAAATTTTTTTAAAATTTTTAAAGAATTTTAAATTTTTAAAAATTTAAATTTTAAATAATTTAAATTTTTTTAAAAGTTGAATAAATGGTCAAACATAGCAATTTGAACTGTATAAAGACAAAATTGGTGGCATTTTGAGAACTATTTTAGCCTATGGTGTATGAAAACTTACGTTTTATATTAGAAACTCCTGTGGTGTAGTGGTAAAAGAAAAAAGACACGCAAACAAAGCACAGCTGTTTCACTTTAGAGATACAGCTTTTCTTTCTGTTGCAGCAGTGACGTTTTGGCAGCAGCTGCTATTCTGGGATCCCCCTGGTCTTGCTCTCTCTATTACCTTCAATCTCAGTGGGATTCACTTCTTCTAAGTGCTCTTCTTTAATCTCTTCCTTTGATTTTCTAACTTAATTTCTTGAAAGTTCAGCTATATCCCTGTTTGTGAATTGCTTTCTCTTTTATGCTTTTCTGAGAGTACAAATACACGAACACTCTTTTCAGTGTTTTGGTAACTCTGCTCAATCAGAGAAGCAGCAAAAGAGATTCTTTGTCTCTGGAGTTTAATTCCTAGCTAAAAATTGAACATATTTTTGTGTCAGGTAACAGATATAAGCAAGCATACTTCAAATTAGCTAACAGAATGGCATTTTCAAGTTATTTCAAATATCCTATATATATATCATTCAAATGACAAGCCAACATTTTAAACCACAAGACTATATCTGAGCTCATGACTCACAACAGAAAGCTGAAAGAAAATTCTACTGATGATGATCCAGTTTTGAATCTTTGGCAAACCCTGAGATTCAATGACTTAGAAAGTGCTGAATGAACATACAGTTCCATTTATAGTATTTAGTCAAAGTAACTTTTGTGTCACTGTAACTCTAATTATGAATGAAATATTCATTAGGGTTGGGTCTTAAAAATTCTGTGATCCTAATCCAAATGAAAGTAGATACTACAGTGTGGTTAACACAAAGTTTTGGAGACAATACAACTCTTAGTTTGAATGACAAATTGTCAGCCTAACTAGATGAGCATTGAATCATGTCAAGCATAGCAATCTTTATGGTGAAACACCTTAAAAGTAAAGGTCATTGTAGAAGCAGAAAGCCTTTGCAGATTATGACTGGAAATAAAGTTTTTATGCCTAAATTTTGCATGAAATATTTTGCTTGAAATATTTTTGGTTTTGTTTAGGAAACTTATCTATACTACTGAAAGTTTGAAAAAATAACTGCATGGATGCTAAAGATAATTATGGAAGTTTGAACTCTTAGGAACGGGCACTCTGAAAAACAGAAGAATAACCTTCCAAAAAATGCAAAGGCTAAATAATATCAAAAGGTCTATATTTTTGGCATCTAAAACTGATAGCTGAAATGGTGCATTTATGTACTGTACATCCAAGCCTCAAAAATTAAGGGGGAGACGAACATACTTTTAAAATCCTTCCATCCATTTTCCAGCTACAGACTAGATCTCAAATAAGTATTTAATTTGCATTTTAAAAGGTGTCTTGATTGGTTATTAATTAAATATTGGTAGTTCAAAAACATATTGAAATTTAGCAGGAATGCAAGAGATAAGTTAAGAGATAAGTTGCTAAATTATTTATATAAAACTACCACTGAAATTCACATATACTTACACTGTTATTCCATTAATGAACTCTCATTGTTGTTCAAAAGGATATTTAGTTTTTAATTGGTAGTAATAAAGCCAGCAGAAGCTTCTTAGTTCTTAATTAATATAAACTCTTCTGCTCTTGGATCCAAATTGCAGTTCATCTCCTACATCAAGGCAGACTGCAGAAAAAGAAGAAAACACTTTGCTTTGGCTCTGTTTCTCTTGCAGTTTGTCATTTCCCTTATGCTGAGGCCCTGCCCACCTTGATGCCTACCCCAGGACCTTAATATGCTTATCTCGCTCATACTTTCAACAAACGTCTTAGTCAAAATTATGCACTCATACTTCCTGTGAGGAGTAAGCCATATAAAATTGATGAAGTTTTTCCCTGTTATAGTAGCTCCATTTTGGTTTACTCCCTCAAGTTCATGTTAATGTGAGTAATGCAGTCAGAAATTACTCATCCATTACAATAGGATGGAAAAAGGAATCTGAACTAAAGTCCAGTAAATTTACAGGCTATTATACTGCTGCTGTGGACATAAAATCCATGTCTTGGGTTAGACACTGATGCTATAAACACCTACCAAGAGCCAAATTTCTTGGGGAAATCAGTCTTTGAAATTAATGTCTGGAGAACATTTTACTAACATTTACAGGCAGAAAATGAGGGGATATTAAATCCAAACATAAAGTTTTGAAGATACAACTTCTTTAGGGAAAAAAAAAACAACTCTCTAGTGGAACACACTTAAACCCTTTATTCTATCTCTTCTTCTTGGATGACGAAAAATATAGCAAGTAAAGAGAGAGAGAGTCTATATATTGCTTTACTTATTTTCATAATTTTTTTACACTAAGAACACAGTGACCTACTACAAGTACACAGAAAAAAATACCTTCTTTAATGAAATTAAAGATGAAATTATGGAAACAAGCTGCACTACTTTCTTCAGAGGTGCTGTATTTCTAGTGTGGTTACTTGGCCTAAGATGATGGTTTGTGACAGCTGTATGTTAGATTCTTTCAAATGCAATCCAAATAATTTCCTCCAACTGAGCTGCAATGGCTAGTTCCTCATGCCTCCTGTCCTTTCTCATATACTTACAGCCTTGGGGCTGTGGCCATGCCAGAAAAAGATAAATTATCAGGATTATAGTGGAGACAAAAATGATGTCTGGTATATGCTCTGATGGTTTTAGCTGTTGGACAGTAGACTCCAGTGGATCTTTAACTGCAGGACTACTAAATCAGGAAGTTTCTATAGAGCCAGCAAATGAAATGAGGGAAGGAAAAGTCAGAGTAATTAGTAACTTAAGCTTAAGTTTTCAGAAGCTTATCCTATCAAATATACACATACAACCAGCAGATTATCTCTAATCTCTAGTCTCCATTTGAAGTAGCTGAATGAATTAGATTTATATTTAATTGAGTTTTATTTCATGCCTTCTTTTATTAAGATGTTGATACATTTGAAATGAAAATTTATTTTCTTTCCAGCTGTGCAGAACATGTAAAGATAGTGCTCACAAATTCAGTTTATAAACTGATATAAATTTATGAGGCAGCTGATGAAGCCCAGACAGTCCAAATGTCTGTCTGTATTAGTGTGGAGGGTGCAAGGGCCAGACCATGCTGACAAACCCTTGTCAGCAAGGGTTTGGACCTTGAATGAAGAAGGCAGCCCACAGCACAGGTCTCTGCAAACAACTTCATGTTGTTTTGTAGGCTGAGGCCACAAGTGACTCTGGCAAAAGGTCTGGCTTAATTCTTGGGCTTGTCTGATTTAATTGCTGGCAAGACCCACACAGAAACAAACACTGTTCTAGTCCCAAATCACAGAACTTGTCCTTTATCCCAGTTGAAGAAGTAGGGCAAAGGCAAACCTTCCTAGGCATAGGCTCAATTGCAAGAGTTCAGAAACCAAATGAGCCTGAGCTAGAAACTTCACTTAAAACAAGGTAACTATTTATCTTCGAGTTTTATCTCTTTTTAAAGGAAATTCACTATCCTATCCACATCATGAAAGCAAAGAATGAGAAGAAATATCAGGAGAGTTAAAATAAAAAATATATAACTTAATTAATTCACAGCTGTGCAAAACATGATTAAGTAATTGAAATGATAGAATCAAGGAGAGAGGAGATTATTTTAGGCAGTCAGAAGTGTGTAATTATGAGTAATGGGCTAAATCTGAGCAAAAGAAAAACTTTAAAGATAAAGCCCAGAAACAAATTCTCACTAGTCAGCTCGACACATGCACAAAATAGCTTTTGCTGGTGTAACCACAAATATAAGTTGGGTAAATGTATGCTGGGGCATTCAGATATCATAAGCAAGAGAGAGTTATGCCAGCTCAAGAAGAAACTTGAAGCAGGGTACCTGATGCTCAGGTGAGAGAATGTTCAGATTTCACTTCTGTTCTGTTAATATCTGAGGCATCAACTCTTCAGTTTTCCCATTTTCTGACATTTTTTCAACAGATAATCTATCACGTTGGTGCTGGGGCTTTGAGTTTCTGCTGATGAGAAACTGGAGCATGGCCAAAGAGAGCAGGACTCAGGTGTAAGAGGTATCACTTCCTTCTTTCTCCCAATATTCCACAATTCCAGGGGAGCATTCAGTTACTGAAACTAAATAAATCCAGGGATCAGCCAGATATAGCAATGTTCTGGCTTTAACATTTCTTCTTTGCAGTGTAGCGATTTAAAACTATTCAAGGATTGCAGTGGTCCAGAGGCACCATTCCTTTTCTTTGGCTTTAACAGGTTACATATGTGACTCTTTTGTCCTATCCATGTCACTAACTGGACATTCAGTTCCCATGGCTGCTTCACTCATAGTCCAAGCCTCCATGAAAAACTCTTCCTGTTAAGGAAAGCATACCACAGTTTTTTCACACTATTCTCCAAAAGGCTGGAGGGAACTCATACAGTTAATGAATTTGTAACAGGAGTACTAGCTAAACTCCTTTATAAGGTCTGATACAGAAACTGCACTCTGAAGGGCTCCTACCAAATCTTCACAAATACCTGATTTATCTGGTTACTTACGAGACAGCAAAGATTTACAGGGGACAGAAAGCATATAAATGTACAGTGGAAAAGATGCTGTGCTATATTTTGAATGGTCACTGCATTCATAAGTCTCTCTGAATTTCGGACATTTCAAGTGGTTTTAGCATAAGATGCCTTTTAGAACCCACATGTACAAAATGGCAGCAAAACAAAATGTCCAAGGTCTACTGAGGTTGTTCCCCTGCCTTCTCTTCCACACGTGTTTAATATCTCTCTTAACCTCTGGACACCTCAGGCCTTAGCTGAAGTAGGGTTTGCCAGAAATTCTTCATTAGATATCCTCACAGTCTTCACAGTTTTTTTAATCACTCTCTTTCTTCATTTTTTAAGGAAAAAGCGGCAAAATGGTGCTCTGTGCAAAAGGCTACTTCTCCCCCACACTTCTCCTGTCATCTTCAGAATGCAGTATCTCTTTCGACTGCTAAGAATTTAAAAATATAGTTTGAGCTGATTAAAAAATACTCTTATTCTCTGATAACTAGCCAATAGTTGTTGTGAGAACAAATCATGCAGCCACCAAGCAAGCACACAGTAATTCATAGTTTCAGTTCTGATTATCAGATGAAGTCATTCAAGCTAGCTATTCAAAAGCTTTCACTAGCAATATTGTGCCAAGGGGACTGCTTAAACTGGGATTTACTGTCCATCTTCTACATTTTGGTAATCACATTTCAGCTTAAACCTTGCCATGACCCCAGATTCAAGGGAATGTAATGGTCTGGACACATGATAATCCTGCTGGGTTATGTAAGGAAATGATTAAGGGTTTCACCATGTCCTGTCAGCTCTGAGCACTAATTCCAAAAGCACATTCCGCTTTCTTTGACAGATTTTAGGAGTGTCCATATCCTAAATGGCAGTTGGTTTTCATAATAATCTGAGCCATTACACTCAATACTTTTATATAACACTGCCAATAGTGGTTGTTTAAATATCATTCTTTTAAGTGTTTTATATTATCAATTCGTGGCTTTATTCACAGCTTTAATGTTTGGAATTTCTGCTCCTCCCCCATTTAGGCAAACATTCGGTGTGACATGTTCAACTTTCAATATTTAGTAACTCTATTAGATTCTAAATTCAGAAGCTCTCTTTTATAATATCCAAAGACTTACACAGGTATGAATTTAGAGGTATAATGTCTAAATATTAACTGATATGGCAAACATATATGATTCCAGCACATCTAATCTTTGAATTCCTGTAATAATCAAATCTTAATCTCCTGGAAATAGGTCGCAAAAGCAAACACACTGTTTTAGTTTACAGCCCCTTGAGAGTTTTTGTTCCTCCAGTTATTCTCATTCTTTCAAATGTGCAGAATTTTTCAAATCCCATCTTTAGCTTTCCGCATTTTCACATACTAAACATCTGCATGCAAAAGTGGGAATACCTGCCACTTGGATTTGTTTCCTTTCTGAACTCTCATTTTCATGTTCTTAATTTTCATTTGGTTTTTTGTGATGTTTCTTTTTGAGGGGTTTTTTGTTTTGTTGGTTACTTGTTTGATCTTTTATGTTTTTTATAAAAATATACTGAGTACTGGATTCCACTGAGTTTGCAATTACAGGCTAACACAAAAAATTGAAGATAGTGTTCAAAATATGGCAGTACAGCAATTAAGAATGGACCTTTTGACTTTACCATTTACAGTCCCAAGAGACAAGTAAAAATTGAGTATCTAGACTAAGTACCTAAGGATTAGAACCCTTTTTTTAGGTCTGGCATGCATGATCCCTATACTCTACCTATGAATGCTCACAAGTGAAGTAGCTTTATCCACAAGTATGCTTTTAAAGCACACCCAATTACTTGGTGGTACTCTGAATAAAGTGGGGCTGGAACCAGCATGAAACACAACTTTGAAATGTGGAATCATACTTAGCATTTTGGGATTCCTTCATTTTCTCCTCTGTGCTATAAATGCCAATCCATGCTGTGCTTATTCCACTAAAGCTTATCTGACAGCAGCCCAAAGCTAAACCTTTGAGGGGTTCTGGCAATTTGAGCCATGCTGAAATTTTGTACTTTTCTGCCTGAAACTGAACTGGGGAACTTGTCACAGACTGTCATGGAAGCCCAAATTAAAATATGGATCAGTGTAAGACTAAACCAAATCACAAAGCATGGGTTTCTGCCTCATCATGAAATATTTGGAAGCAGAGGTTATATCAATAGAATAAGTGAGAGAATAACTTGCTCTTGCTATTAGCTTAAATTTTGAATACTACATCAGAAAGATGTTCTTCTCAGTATTGAAATAAAATTGCCCTCTTGAGGAAGAATTTTTTTTTACCATTGAAGAGTGTCTTTGAATGAGTTGCACACGCTCACTTATTTTGTCCTGTAACACGACTAAGTTCACATGACTCTCAGTTTTGAAACAAGAACTTAAGAGTCAACAGGGAAATTTGATTTAAAATAACCTTCTCTTCTTGCCTTGATTTTTGTAGCCATCTCACCCGTTTCTCTCCAAAAATCTATCAAAGAGAAAAATTTTGTTGAATTTTCCCCCTTCTCACAATGTGAAACATTTTCTAGATTTAAGAGACTTGAAAGTTCCTGAAGACCTCAGAAGAATTTGGGGTTTGTTCGTTTTGTTTTGGGGTGGGTTTTTGTGGTGTTGGTGTTGTTGTTGTTGTGGTTGTTGTGGTTGTTGTGGTTGTTGCTGTTGTTACTTCATAATGGAGATTTTTTGTGAAAAAATTACATTATCTATTTTAATGTTTTATCTGATAAGTAACAAACACACAGTAATATATCTTTAAAGTTCTTAGATTTTGTTTTTTTAAAAGAGGTTGAAATGTTTTTTACCCCTACATCCCTTTTCTTATAGAATTATGTGAACATGTTTTTGAAGAATGGTGACTTGTCTGATCTATTAAAAGCACAATTTAGCAAATTGTTTTATTTAGATATTCCTATTGGCATTAATATTATCTACCTTATATATAAATATAGCTGTACTGTGACAGCAATTCCTTTGAGATGCAGTTGTGTCTGTTAGTACCATCTGATTTTGCAACTGGCTCAGTAATAACAGAAGGTTTACAAAACGTTGATATTAAGACTAAACTATTTTATTACAGAAAAGTCAGGATTAATTTTTTTTCCAAATTACTTATTAGATTAGTCTGTTTTAGCAATATTCCATTTTCATAATAAAAATAATACAACTCCAGAACCAAATATAGAAGTTCTGTAAGTCAGTCTTTCTTCATATATATCCACTGATAAACACTTTACTCCTATGAATATATATTTTTATTCTGCAAATAGTAAGCAAGACAAACACTTCCACATTCTATCTAGATCCACTCTGACAATATTAATGTGTTTTTAAAAAATTTACCTATATCCTAACAATATTTTTAATACAAGATTTAAAAAGGAAAATGCAAAATACTGAGTTACAGGAGTAAAAGAGTATTGATACTGACATATGCTGATCTGTTAATAAAACTAAAAAATAAAATCAATAAACTAAATCAACTAAATCAACGAAATAAAACTAAAGGCAAAGTATAGGTACATTTGTGTTTGAGTCAGAAGTAAAGTTATCACTCTATATCACAACAAAAGAAGATGAAATAAAGTTTCAAATTAAGAAAATATGTTGAACTGTGAACAGTCATTAAGAATATAAATAGAACCCATAGCCATTAGAGAACAGCTTATGCAGTTTTGTAGCTTTCTTTGAAGGAATATGATAAGGGCACCACAGCTTTTTTTTGTTTCTTCCATCTGGGAATAACAGAATGTTGTAATCTCACATGCTTTTCTTCATCATGTGTGGCTTGATTTCTCTATTTATACAGAGGATATGTCCAAATATCATTGTACACCACTGCAAAGCCAAGTAAACAGCCAGTAAAAAAATTAGCAGCAAACTAGACAATCAGTGAGAATTTCAGGTGCACTCCAGTTCTGAAAATGAAAGGCCTCACACAGACACTCTTATTTACAATTCATTTGTTTCTGAAAAATTACAAATGGAGAATGTAATTTCTAACCTTAAGAAACAATAAAGACCTTATTTGAGTATTTCTATTTTCTATTAATTATATCTGTTATAATGGAGGTATTTACAGTCTATATATATTTATCATACTGTTACACAGATACCAGTGTGAGAGGCTCTCTGGCAACTTCCTGAAAGCAAATAAGTAATACATAAAATTATCTACAGTGTCACACTCCTAAAGCGTACCTCAGATAATCTTTGAATTTACATCATATCATCAACTTTGTAATCCCAAAGGAGATGCCACAGACAGACCAAAGCCCATCAAAGTGCTGTGCACTGCTCAGCTGTATACGCACACTAGGAATGCAGAACACAAGCTTTTCTTCTCAAAGTTGCCTTTGATAGCTCTTGAGGTACTTCAGGTGTTCCACTGTTAAGTGGTGAAAAATTTATGGTCAATCCAAAAATTGTGGCTATCTAACACACACTAAAATTTTTCCCTGGACAGGTCTGAAACACGCTGAATATTTTAAGACTTCATTTTTCAAGGTATCTATTCCACAGAACAAAATGAGACTTATAAAGCATGATCTTCCAGTGGAAATGGCACACTGCTAGGGTATATTTAGTGATAAGACTTCCCTTGTCTTGATGGGTGAAAATTATAACACCACAAAATTATTTTGGTGTTTGGTTTTTTGTTATTTTTTAAAAACACCTTCAATTGCAGTTTAAAATAATAAAAATTCTCAAGTGCCACTATATTCATAGCATTACCACAAAAAAATTATCATGTAAACATAAAGTAGCATATGTTACAGAAAGAGAAACAAAAAGCTGTAAAACCTAAAACTACTAACTACTTTCTAAAGACTTTTCCTGGTCATTTCACGGTCTTTTCACATTTCTCTATATGGTGTGAAATATGGATGATCATTCCAAAGTATAGGTCATTATGCCAACACAATCAAGAATTCTTCAGCACAGAGTGATTTCCCCCTAATTAGTTATCTCAGTCTAGCAAAAGAGGAAAGCAAGGGCTGGGTTTTCAATAACCACGTAAACAGAACTGATCAGTAATTTCTGCTCTAGGTTTTTACTGGTCAAATGTTCCAACTATTCAAAATTTCACACAGGAAAACAAAAACTTGCCAACATTTTTAGAGACTCAGTCAAGAGAAATGAAGTGCTATTTTTTCTTTGGTGAGTCAGCTCATACTAAGACTCCCTAATGTCTCGGGATGAAATTTGTTATTTCTGTGTACCCTATCCACTGCAATTGCATTTTGAACAGGCAGATTAAAGACCTGTTATGTGGGACACAAGACTTCCTAGCAAGCTCTAGATGAGTTATTCCAGAAAATAAAAGTTAATACAGTTTTCACAGTCTTCTGTTATATAGGTACTATTTTTGTTCTGTGTACCAGTAGGCACCAAAAAAAAAAATTAATCAGATTTTTTGAAGACTCCCATTGCCTATATAGTTCACTGACTATATAGTGTCTGCATATTATTATAATAGGTGGATTATGGGACAATATCAGAAATATACAGGTGTATAAGTGGAATAATCTCTTTTATTGAATATTCATCTCAATTCAATATTTGTATTATACTTAGGTGACTGCCAGTATACTAGCCAAGATGTCCATGCCTTCACATATTTAATCTGGGCTTCTTTTAGATTGGGGGGAATTAGAAATATTTGTGGATTTTCCCAGCATAATGATTTTTTTCCAACATGTTTGATTTTTTCCCCAGGAATTTGAACTGTCAAAAGCAATGTTCATCCATAAAACTAAAAGAAACTGCTGAGGTCTTTATTTGTCTATTAGCCCAAGCTTTTGAGGGTCTCAGGGGGTAATACTCAGTTAGCAACACTCAAGGAAGATTACCAACAACTTTTTTTAAAAAAGGTGACAGATTGGAAGAATCTTGATCAAAAAGAGTACATAGGCTGATAAAATCACAAAGGCACTGTCAATTCTTACTTTTAAGAAAGTAAGAATTGATAGTGCCTTTGTGATTTTTAAATTTAAAATGCTTGTTCTGAAATGATGAGATAAATATTTAATGTTCCTAATCCATAACTATAATGGAGGAATAATTTGTCAGAGGAAAGGCTACTTCCTGTGTCATATTTATTTCCAGTTATATAAACTTGACACTTGAATTCCTCAGAAAAAATATCTGTGTGAGTCATCAGCTTCCTTCACAGTTTGCTTTGCTGGGCTAAAAAATGTTACCTGGTCATTAACTAGGAAAAAACAAAGAAAATTAAATACAATGAAAAGCATCTAAAGCTTGAGATTCTTTCTACTTATGTTTAGCAAAACTAAACAAAAATTTATTCACAAACCACTCAACTCCCTAAGGTCATAGAATCAGTCAACAGAATAACTATGAGCACCAAGACATGTCATCTGGCAATCAGGCTCAAAATAATAAAAATTCAAGAGTGTTTCACACAGAAGCCATGAAATTTGAAGTAAAAAATAATTATGTGTGCCAAAGTTGAGAAATTTTATATGCTCTTGGAAATATACCTTGCATTTGATTATCAAAGAGACAGAACTTACATTTAGAGGAGAAAATCTACTGAGCTGAAAGCAGAGGAGATCTGGAATGTATTGCACACAGTTCCTGAGCTGCATTTATGACTTCTCCTTGTAGCCACTGGTTAAATCAGCTACCTTAATCTCGGGTTAGGTGCAGTTTTGCTGTTTTTATGGTTTTCCATTTAGCTGCTAGGAAATAAACATGAAATGTTGCTCTTTTGGGACTATTTGTTCTGTGCTTTCAATTTGGCCAGATTTTTACTGGAATGAATGAGAAGACATTGATTTTTTGAAAATTTTAATTGTATGTTTGTTTATGCCCTCTTCAGAACAGGAATTGTTCAGTATACTAAGAAATAAATTACAATAATCTTGTCTTTGTCAAATGCAGTGGGGTTTCTGATATTCTCTGAAAATCAGAAATTATACCACTAAGTAGACCACAATTTTAAGTCTAGCTTCTAGTCCTGGGAAAGGTTGCATCTATTCCTGCAAATATTAACAAAAAAACCAAAACAAAATAAAAACAAAACAAAACAAAAACCCCAAACAAACAAAAAAAAACCCACAAACCAAAACAAAACCTCCCAAATTTATACAAATATGCAAACTTTCATAGTTTTTTAAAAATTTAATGAAGAAACTAATTTCAAGGTAGAGAACCATTACTTTGTGTATGTGCAGTTAATTAAAACCGAAAATTATTATCTGAGGACTTGTATGAATTTTTCTAGGTCAGCATACAAAGCCATTAACCAGGAAAGAAAATTTATAAATTGCAGGCACAGATCACTGTGCAATGTTTTCCTTAGGTCTTGGTCTATTAAAAACAAAACAAAACAAAACAAAACAAAACAAAACCCCAACAAACAAAAACCCTAACAAACAAACAAATAAAACAGCAAAGCAACCTCAAAAAGAAACCATCTCAATTTTAACAAGAGTTCAGACTATTCAAGACCTTGGTAACTAGTTCACTAATAGAAAAGATGTCACATCCTTCTTACCTTGCACCATATTCTGCCATTCTTGCAGTTCCCCATCTCAGTCACTGGGAGTGCAGGAGCATGGGGAAACCCAGAGGGGTCAGAGCACCATCATCCCTTGTCACCATATTTGGTGTTGGGGGTTTGGATAAGAAAAAATTAAAATTTTGACTCTCAGTCCAAGAATCTTTCTTTTAGGAATTCTAAAACTGAAGAATATAATTTTTAACTACTTATAAAAAACAGTTTACTGGTCTTGCTTAGAAAAGAATCACAGTACTGCAATTACCCCAATGGGGGTGTCAGTGAAGTGTGTTCTCCATTGAATTCGTACTTAAAATCTTCTATCTTGATATTTAATTTTTATCTGTTGTAGTTCCACAAGAAGTCTGAAACATAATTTAATGTTTGTTTTAAGAGTCTTCCAGAGAAATAGCTAAGAGGGGGGAAAAAGGAAAAGTTTCTCCTTTTTTTTTTGGTAAATTTGAACTATTTAGAGCCTTGTCAGCAATCATGAAAAAGAACGGTGACACAAATAGAATGACTAATATTATTTGGAGGTCACATATATGAGAACAGTAAAGTGTTTTTACAGTTATGTGCCTCAGCACTGTATCAAAAAAAAGTATTTTTAATTTTTCCTTAGAAGAATTAGAATCTCAGACCTTGTCACAAAAGCAATATCAGTTGTGTAGTCTTCCAGACACATTTTTAAGTGTAATTCTATTATTGCAATTGGATCATGAACATAAGCAACTGAAATTAATTTCTGTAGGGTACACTGTGGGCACAATTACAAAAAGTGTTTGCCTTCTCCATTTTGAGACAACCTTAAGCAAGACAGCTTTAATTTTCAGGTTTTGTCAAGAAAATAATTTTGGCACAATATTCTATTTTTTTTTCTATACATACATTTAGTTCTTAATAGAAACAAAGAAAAGGAGACCAGCCACACTTGCCAATGTTTTCAACACTGCACAACAATTCTTCTAAGAAAAGGGGAAATAAATGCTGCCAAAGGGGTATGGTGTTTTAAAATAATTTAATAGCAGCTCTTAAGCTCAAGGGCACTGTTTTATTCATCATTGACAAGAATAGCAAGTGGTGAGTCATGAGTATTTTCTGAAATTCATTCACTCACTTTACGTGCCTCTCTTTTTAGCTGCCAAACTTGCAATACCATCTGCTTTCAGCCTTCAGTAACTCTAGCTGCCTCCAGCTAAGACAAAAGCCATGAATATTTAACACCTGCAAACAGAAGCAGTAGATGGCTCACGACCTAGGATCAGTGGAAATTTGGAATCCTCCATTCCTAGATGCAGCCAAGGACCCACAAATTCAGTAAACACATGAGGAGATTGTGGTGACTTCTCCAGTCTCAAATCTCGGAGTGAGGGTCCATGTCCAGCAGCACTCCTGCCTTGGGATGCACTTACCTTTCCTGCCTGGTGTCTCCTCCTGTACAATCCTTTCTGGGACCCTGACAGTCAGGCAGCTTTAGGGGTAACAGAGATCCAGACAGAAAAGGGGGAAAGAGAAGAGAAAGAAAAGAAAAGAAAAGAAAAGAAAAGAAAAGAAAAGAAAAGAAAAGAAAAGAAAAGAAAAGAAAAGAAAAGAAAAGAAAAGAAAAGAAAAGAAAAGAAAAGAAAAGAAAAGAAAAGAAAAGAAAAGAAAAGAAAAGAAAAGAAAAGAAAAGAAAAGAAAAGAAAAGAAAAGAAAAGAAAAGAAAAGAAAAGGAGTGTTTCCATCCCATCAATTTCCTAGCCTCCAATGCAGAAAGGGACTACAGAGAGCAGTACCAGGGAGCCAGAAATCACAAGTGAGAAATAGCAATACTTAAGCCAGGCTCTTTCACCAGACCATTTCTCAATCCAGCTTAATCACATACAGCATTTGAGTACAGACTGAGAGAAAAGGCCTGAAAAAAACAGACCAGAGTGATAACTGGTCTGGATAATTTAAAAATACTTGAACAATTTCAGTCTTTGACATTTTATGTAAAATTATAATTTCTTTTATTTACTTATTTATTGATGAACTGATATACTAAATCTGTTAAACCTATTCACAATTATTTAATGTGAGTGTAAGTAAAATAAAATGCCAAAGGATTGGCCAAAGATTAAATATGATAGAGTTAAATGGATTCTTTCCCAATAAAAATGTGCCCAAAAACTGAGCTCTCTCAAAAATATTTTCCTTTTCCCACAACATCACTTGAAAAATTGCAAGGAAGAAAAAAAGTGAAATAACCATATCTGCTCATATCTGTTCAATTTCTGGCCTCTTTTCACTACTGAAAGGAGAAATTTCTGTTCCATAAATTTGATTCTTTTTCATTTGGTTTCTATGGAGATTATAGATACTTTTTTGAATAGTCTTGTAGAAATTTTTTTAATTTTTTTCTAAAGCACCAGGAATGTTAACTGTGGAAAAAGAATAGGAAATAAATTCTGTGAACGGTTCTCTTATACCTAAAAGTGCATAAATCAATTTAGCACAAGCTTCATGGTGATGCATGATGAGACAATTCCGATGGAATAAGTTATGCAAACGACCTTTAGTGATATTTTGGAAAGTAATTTGCAAAACATAGTCCATACACTGTACCTCTTCTCTTTTTCTCATTTGCTTCTGTTATTGAAGTGCAGCCAAGTGTTTTCTTAACCATTCTTAACTGCAGCAGTTAAGAAATAGTTTCCTAGACTTCTCTGGAAAGGCAGGAATTTGGGCAGTATTTATGAAGAAGAAAATCAAAACCTTTTTAACTCAAAATATAGTCCTCTCTTACTAAAACTGTACATCAGAGTTGCAAGCATTCTTCTGTGGTGGGTTATTTAGAAACAACAGCAAAAAGACTTCCATATAGCACTCTTCAGACACATAAGTGAAACAAAAGTCATGTATTTTAATGCTCAGCAGAAACTGGTTATCTGGAATTTTAAATGCCTCAGCAGTTGATAATAATTTTGCTGCACCAGGAAACAAGATAAGTCGACCTCCAAAGTAACTAGTACAAAGATGAGGAAAAGGATCACTCCTCCACAGAAATTTTAAATTTATGGCACGTGAAATTCAGTCAATTTTGTAAAATTAGAAATTTCATGCATCTATGACACCTGACCTAAATGTTGGTCTAATTGCTTAATTTTAATGCTTTTTTTAAATTTATTTACCCATGTGTGATAAGAAATTATGTAATGTGTTAGGGCTTATATTAAAACATTGCTCATTTATTGTCATGACCTTTACTCTTGCTATTTCTAACAGTTAATTTCTGTTCAACAATTTGTTAATTACCATTTAGAATTTTTCCAGTCGTTACTATCAGGGGCTAAAACCTCCATGCTTATTTGCTGGTTCTTTATGCTGGTACATGAAACCACTCTTTAATCAGTTACATCAGCCCTTTCCCCCCGCCCCCCCCACACCTCTCTAGAGGTTCCATAATGATCTGGAACTCAGAAAGAAGGAGTTTTCATTTCCTTGCTGGTCCTCATATGGTTTCAGATTCCTAACATCTGCTTTATCCTAATCCTCATGTGCTAGGCTTTTAGTAAAGGTGGCTACGAAGGCTAAAACCACATTTGTCAGAATGAGTGTAAAATTTCTTAACACTGATAAAAATAAATAATTTACAGGCTACTACATTGGTCTACAAATGGCCACTGTAAAGAACAGAGGAAAAAAAGAAACTGAATGAAAAGAACCTTGCACGTATTTTCTGGTTTTATTTTGAAACCAAGCTTGTTCACTTATTTTTCTTGTTAGAAGGGAAATTCATTTCACTTACTACTCTCACTGCCAAAATCCTAAGTCTCTGCCACCATTTTCACAAGGGTATTTTCTTCATCAAACGTAAAGGATTACATGGTGATTGTCCTTACCAGGTATAATGAAACATTTGCACTACTGTTTTTGAGGGTAAAAATTGGTCAGTTGGTTGTTTTGGTGCAATACATAAAAAAAGAAAAACCACTTATTTAATTTTCAGTTTTCTGATTTTTTCCCCTTCCAGGATGTAACAGGCTCTTCATTGAAGAAATTGTGATGATACAACATAAATGGAAACTACAATGTCAGAATGGATTTTTTTTTTTATTTCTAAAATTAATTTTAACTCTGCCTATTCAACATCCCTTTCAAGATTGTTTTCACATTAGGTCTTACTGTGGAGGTTGAATTTTATAGAGATATTCCAAGAGCATCCAAATTTAACTGCATTTCCTTAGTACTCAGAGTGCTCCTTGCATTGGTTCCTACTAGTCAGAATGCTGTTTTCTGACAGTAGTGCATTTTAATTATCCTGTCTGATTTTTTTTCCAGTATTTTCAATAGGCTGAATAAGTCTTGAGTCAAGGTGTCTTTCCAGAGTGAGACTTTACTTTTTTTAATGCGTTTCTAAGACATCACTAGCATCTCAACATGCTCAGTCCCTGAAAAAAAAATTCCTTCTGACTGTACGTGCCATCTGCATTCTTTGAGGGCTTGCAAGAGCTTCAATGTCATACTAATAAAAGGAAATTTTAGCACAGCTGTGACAGCAACAAAATCACCTGTAAGACATTTATCACCAAGTGGTCCCCTAGTATTACTCTCCAGGTGTCACTGAAACTATCCAACCAGAGAATTTTGCCCAGGCTACAGCTGCCAAATCAGTCTTTTTTTTTTTTTTTTCCAAATTCCTTCTTACTTTCAGTACTTGATTTAGAAAAAGAAACAGTCAGAAAATGTGGAACAATTAAAAATTATCTACAAACAACAATTGAGATCTGTTTTCAGATCACAACAAAAACACCTAAGGAGAAGAAATGGCTGCTTGCCTTTTGTTTCCATTTTGGAAGTTCCATTTTCCATTTTTTGTTTCAGCCTCCTCTAGAGTCCATCTGCATACATCAAAATTAGATGCACCTGCACACAATTTACTGCTTGGAGATTTTTTCTGGGCAATGTATGCAAAAGGCATGTAATACATGTCCAGTATACTTACCATTTTAAAATAAACAGCAAGTTTAAGGGTTTCTTTTCACATTGTTTTGATTATTCAGTTTAAGGTGCAAAATAATGCCATTCTTTCAAAGTCTGACCACAATAAAGGTCACAATTTTAATATCAAAATGGGGGGGTTTCATAGTTGTCTCAGCGTGATGGAATACTAAATATTTTTGGAGGTAAGACATGGAAAAATTACATCAATGTAAGATTTGCTTCTATATTATCATTCTAGCATTGTCTAGAAAAATTTGTGTTCTATTTACAGACACAACTACTGCACTGATTGTGGATATTTTTGCTGCTTGTAAAACTACAGTGTAGTTTTCATTTCTTCTCCTGATCTATTTAAAATTAAGTAATGTCCAAGGGTTTTGGTTTTTTTAATGGAAAAGACACCAGAAGATTATTAGATCAAATAATGTATGGCAAAAAAATAAAATAGAATACTTAGTGTTACATATGGAATGCCTAGGTCATCAGCTTCAAAATTTGCCACTAACCTAAAACATGCATATGTTCCACCTACATAGGGTACCTATCTACATTTTCAGAAATAATAATCCACCACAAAGCACATGAGACAAAGTACAAAGTAGGTTATATGATCCATTAATGAAAGATATTTTTTGGATTTATTGTGTTCTTTTCAGCTCACAGACCATGACTACCACCAAAGAATTTCTGCCAGAGAATCACTGTGAAGGCTGTTTGTATGGAAGTGTTTATATGGAATGCTATCTACTTTGTGTGCAAATTGCTAATATAACACTTAGGTAAATTTAATAAGGTGAAGCATACACATAAAGACTACACAAATGGTGAAGGTATCATAACTGACTCATTTAACTGGCATTATTATTCTATATGTGTTTTGTGTTCATGGGTCTTCAAATGCCTTTTTTTATCCCTTCCTATAAGCACAGTGTGAACACAGACTACTTGCATTTTTGTTTTAAATTTACTGTAAGCCCCAAAAAAGGACCATGGATAATGGTAATACCTGGGTCTAAAAGTGATAAAATGTATAATTTTATTTACTTCTAACCACTTCATCATCTCTGTGGCATTCCTATTGTTTGCATGATAGAAAGAAGCAAAATTGTCAATATTAGCTTATATGCCAGATAAAGAGTAAAGTAAGAAATTACTACTTGTTGCAGTACCAGGACTTATCCTTAAAAGGCAGATAGTTAGGAAGAGAACTTTAAACAAAATGATCCAGCATGCCAGAGAATAATGGAGTA